TCTTGGGCCGGTTAGCCTTTTTATGACTGCGTGCGGATTGTCACCGGACCCTGTGGGTCCTTGGCGGACTTGTTGTGTGCGCCAGGCACTTGACATCTGGCAGGGAAATTGCGTCTGAAAGGGCTCGCTTGTGTTTCCGGGAGGGGCTGGCTCGCGTAGCTCACGTATCCCAAGTATCGGTCGTATTGTGCGTGTTTAGTCTTAAGTCGGTATCTTTTTTGCTCGTAAATATATTTGGTCGACGACGCGCGGATAGATTTATTTATTATTGTAACGGCCGTTCCTGACGTGGGTTTTCTCAAGAAGAGTTTTCCCCACGTCACAAGCGAAGCTTGGGTAAATGCGAGAACGCGCTGAGCTTGTCAATGGCAAATGTGTCAACGGACACGGCTGGGTAGCGAGCGTCTGGAATGCGGAATAAAAGAACTGTTTTAGGATAAACCTGGATTCGATAACTGTCGAACTTATGGAAGTCAATTTATGGCCTCTTCTTGGAAAGAAAATAGCATCGACTCGGGTTCGAGAACTGAGTCTAAACACATGGCTGCCAACAGCGTTGGCCAATTCCCAGGGGGTCCAATTCGGGCCAATGTTTAGGGCCTAAGTGTTTGGGGATGCTATTAGGAAGGAGATTGGTGCGGACTCCGCGTGTGATTGGACCGAACTAGGCGTGGGAGTTTGAGAAAAGGGCGGTTATCGACCGAGGGATTGGACATTTCCTCGAGGTTGAATATAGAAAGGGAAAACGCGGTTCTCGGCGATCGACGGCGTCGATCGATAGCGAGGGAGGAGGCGGGTTTTAGGACCCAAATAAATAGCAGATGCGTTTGGAGAGCGCATAGTAGTTCAGTCTAATAGTTCTTTGGAGAAGTTTCTTGATTCAGATCACATTAGTTGTGCGAGACAGTTCTCTTGAGTCAGTTCAACTAAACAATCTCAAAGCGTCGTTACCAGCCGTCCGAATAGAGAACATAATAAACCAATTTTGAACACTCACGGTGCATCGTTACTTTCCCTTGGCCATCCACTCGCTAACACTCGTGAGAGTGTTAACAAAGTCCTTAAAAAGCTTATTTGTAAATTCAAGTCCATTATCTGACCTGAGGATAATTATTCTCTTCTTCTGCTGTACAACTACTTCGTTATAATACTTCTTGAAACAATCCAATGCCTCATTTCTATGTTTAAGAAAGTAAACATGACGAAAACCTGATCTTTTATCCTTTAATAACATGAAAAACTTTGAATTACCTTGTTACGTATACAGCCCCGTATATGTATACGGCCCTGCGCGTTTCCAGAACGTTCGCTGCGTACGCATCCCTTGCGTGGGTGACTCACAGGGCGAGTCTAGCGTGGAAGGTTCTAGAAAATGCCCAAATATGGTCATCCCCACCTCGGGAAAAGAGCCTCATTTGGGTATAAAAGGGCGCTCGACCACAGCCCTTCGGATCATTCTTAACTAAGGCCGGTATTCACAGTCCGTGCTCAAGCAATTGCTCAAGCAATTGCTTGACCAAGTTCGCCTTATTCGAATAAGGTGGCCTCAAGACCTCATGTATTCACAGTC